AATCACTAATTTATATGCAATGGGGCTTACCGAGTAGTGGAAAATTAGTGGTATAAAAACTTTAATGGTTTTATTTTTTTCTAATCATTTTTCATGGTTTGAAGAGCGTTCTTTAAAATCCTTATGTCATTTGGAACAGATTTTATAGCTTTCTGGTCACTTTCAGTTATTAAAAAACCAGTAATGTTCAGTTTCAAGATTTGATTTCATAAGCACTATATGGCTTGCATTCCCTAGGCCCACTCAGACAGAAGTACTGGAAGGGTTTTCTGCGTTGCCAGGCCCCCAGGGTGTAGGATCAAACAGAAGGGATAGAGAATGGCGGGTCTTAACATACCATGTTTCATGATGGCTGCCTATTATTGTCTCAGCATGGTTTCACTTGCTATTTGTGGCCTCTGTTTATGTGACAGTCTTCTATATAAAGTTTTGTTGTTTACTCAAAAGTGTTCTCAGCTTCACCCCCTATACCCTCTGTCATTCAAATGTCTTTTGAAGATGGAAATTTTTGCCTCTCTCTGACCTTGTAAGGTCCCCTATGTCAACAGTTACATCTGCTTGTAATTTGCCATGTTAATAATCCCAAAGCTCATTTCTTCTCTTCTATATCCCAGGTTCTGTAGAGTTTGGGAACCACTAAAGCCTGGCCCACTTACCACCGAAGACCACTCCCCGCAGAGTCACTACATCCCTGGACCTTTTAGTTGTGTGGGAATGAGCTGTGCAGGGAACCCCAACCCACCTTCAGTATCAGAGGGGCCCCCATTGTACTCTGGTCATGTTCTTTCCCACATACTCACTCACCACTTGCGCTGTGTTCAATGGCAGCACCCTTGTAGAAATGCTGATTTCACTGCTCAAAAATATACACCAGGGAGCGAGCTGCCAGTCTCTCTTTCATTCACCTAGCTCTGCTATATGACTGGGGTGAAAGAAGAAAGAAATTCTTCATTTATACCTAATCCATAGAAGAGGAGGGAGAATTTCAATACTAACCCTGCATTCCTTAAAAGAAAGAGAAAATCTTAAAATTCTTCTCAAGTACAACATGTCCTATGCTACTACTTCTGAACTGGGGGCACCTTGATAAATGACCTGGTCACAGTAGAAATACCACAGTACTTCACTAAATCATATTTTTTTAACAGATAGTGTGAGTTTGGCTAAGTGGCTACTTTTATAAAATATTAAAAATTAAAATTGGACCCGGCCTGGCTGTTCAGTTGATTAGAACAGCATCATACACGCCAAAAGTTTGCTGGTCCGATCCTCCGTCAGGGCACATACATGGGTTGCAGGTTTGCTTCTAGACTGGACCACACACAGGAGGCAACCTATCTATGGATGTTTCTCTCTCACACTGGAGGCTCTCTCTCTCCATCCCCTCTTCTTTCCTCTTTCTCTAAAATCAATAAATATATTTTGGGGTGAGGATTTTGAAAATAGTAATAAAATTATATTTTTAGCAACATTGTTTGTCATAAACTATCAATAGTGTCTAATGTTTGCTTGTGTTGTGACCTCCAAAGTACTTCCTCTATTCCCAAGGTATGGCAAATAGCAGTTGCGTATCATTTTATTAAACTACACTGCCTGGTTTGATACTCAAAATATTTCTATGAAAATTTCAACTTCAAATCTCTCTAAAATATGTCAGTTTAAATCCTATATTCTGCCAGGGATGCCTTTTTCATATGAATCTCAACACTTATGGGACATGCTGGGTAGCACGCACTAGGCTTGGCTCTGGGACTACAAAAGACGAGACATCCCATTGCCCTTTTAGAGGCTGCATTCTAGTTGAAGGAGAAGTGCATAGCCAAGCAAATAAATAAATTGCAGATTATGAAGGAAATAAATGGAGGTTGCTATTACAAAAACAAAAACCAAAAAACCTAGGATGAGGTAATTTAAATATGGCAAATAGGGAAAATCTCTGATGAGGTGATGTTTTAGCCGAGATGAGAAGTTTGGGGAAGAGGCAGTCAGGTGACAGGCGGACAGAATTGTATTCCTGGTGCAGGGAGAGCAGTGTTGGCACTTTGGTGTGTGATTTGTTATTCTAGGAAATGGCAGAGGGCCAATATCCCCAGTGCTTATTGACAGAGGGGGAGAATTATGTAGGGTCTTAGAAACCCTGTTAAAGGATTCTTGTTTATATTCACTGTGCAACGAGAAATCACTGAAGGATTTAAGCAGGGAAGCAAAATGAAGCGATTAAATTTTTAAAGACCACTCTGATTTCTCAGTACAAAACAAATCATGGGAGAGCAGCAGTGAAAGCAGCAAGACCATTAGGAGTCTGTTGCGATTGACAGACAAGAGATGTTGATGATTGGGACAAAAATGGGGGCACTGGAGACAATATACTGAGAATTATTTTACAGAGAGCACTACCAGGAATTGTTGATGGATTGCGTATAAGTGATTAAAGAAAATAATAAATCAGTGATGACTTCTGGGGCTTTGGGAGGATCCTGGTGTCTTTGTTTGTGTGCTTGTTTGTGCTGCCCACCTGGATGAAGGGTGGCACTATTTATTGATGTCTTTTTAAAGACTGAAAGAAAATAAGACCCGACTGATGAGATGGGGATGCATCAACCATTCCACTTCAGACATCTTTCTGTGGATGTCTCTGCAAGAGAAGACATCAGGTAGATATTTGAATTCACAAGTCTGGATTCCATAGAAGAGGTCTGGGCTAAGAGGTCACTGTGGAGGTGGTAATTAATGAGATGATATGTCAAGTCATAAGAACAAATAAGAACACCTGGAAAATGAATTATGAACAATGAAGGCCAGCATTTAAATAGATGTTTAGAGTTAAAATATGTAAACAGGGAAGTAGTAGGATAAAAAGCTAGAGCATCCAAGAATGTGTCTGCTATATATTCATCAAGAAATTTTGGTGATTTTCACCATGGCAGATTTGGGGAAGCTACAGAAATATAAAGAATTTCATGATGAATAGAAAAATAGATGAATTATGGAGCAAGGGAAACAACCTTTATCAATAAAAATTTTACGTTAATTTATAGGACAGGATTCAGAAAAAAAGAGATGTCGAATGGAAATATGGACTGAGGGATAGAGTTTTTGTTGTATTTTGTAATTTTTTTAATGTTTATCTCTTTTTTAACCTATTTGAAAGAGGAGATATTAGGTGATACTCTGTGAAGATAGATGAAATTTAGGAATGAGGGAAATATTGATATTTCAGGAGAAGATTAAGGGGAGAAGCAAACCAATGAAATCTTTAAGCCAGATTTAAGGGATATGATCTAGACTGACAAGTATAAATTTGTCTTTGATAGAAGGATCAACTTTCTCTTTCCCAATAGTAAGTAAGGAAGAATGTAAAGATATATGTAATTACAAGATTTATAGTTTTTATGCTAGAAAGATGAGAAAGTTACCAATTAATTAAATACATTGATTATTTAAGAATGAGTTATTCTGTCTTTTGAGGGGAATGATGAATTCCAGTCTACTTTTATATCACTGCACCATTTCAGTGTTTGATCGGAACATCTTTTCTGTTAGCATTACAGTATTTAGGCAGAAAATGAGAAAAGATATATGTAATACACAAAACATTGTCAATGAATACAAGTTGTTACTTAGCATCTTTCATCTTCTGGTACAAATGAATGTCTCGAAGCACTACACAATCACAAAAGTAGCCCTCTTTTAAGATGAATGTTTCTTGAGGAACCAACTGGAGAATATTTTTTCTCTAAAGATAAGCAACTCTTCTTAGAATAGGAACAATGTTAGCTATAGTATTAAACCAAGTTCTTCCAATTACATATAGCAATCATGATGACTTTGTTTATTGGGATAAAACTGTAGCACTTATATAATATAGCATATTATGAAATAAACATATGAGCGTGGTAGTATATGTATATATAGATCACATGTATGTATTTAAGTAATATGTAATATATTTGTCTATAGAAAACATACATACACACATTCTGTTAGTACCTATGGATATATACAATGTGATTTTATAGAAATAAATGTTTTATGGGTACTTTATTTAATAGATAGCCTCAACATCTTAGTAAATCTAGGATAACAAGAAATATATTGCATACATTTTCCAAGTGACAGTGAAGTAAACAATTGCTTATAATATGGTATAATCAATTCTTCATAAAGACATGTTCAAAGTACAAAGCTCACACAATTTTAAATCTCATTACTAAAAAGGAATGATCTTGGAGATGGTCTTTCAAGGATGTGTAGATGTTAAGGACATATAAAGCAGTCTTAACACATTTTAATAAGAATAATAACATATCGAAAGGCCTTATGATACAGGAGACGCAGACAACTGGCAATTAGTGGCAATTTAAAATTTTAAATGGATGCTATGTAATAGATTGATTTTTCTCCAGATCAAATTTAGTTACTGAAGATGCATCTAACATGGACAAATTCATTCATTTGTAGCAAATTTTGGACACCAAATATCTATTAAACAACAATTAAGTTAACTATGGGAAACTGAAAATTAGGTAGTCTAATGAAGGCACATGAGAAAATTACATCTTATTTCTATGATTCTAATGTTACAGTATTTAAATATATAAAGTTCTTCCAAACTAGAATCCTTTGCCAAATCTAAGTATATTAGTTCTTTTTTTTTAATATTAAATTTTATTTAGTTACTTTTCAAGTACATTTTTTTTTAATCTATTTCTCCCATCCCACCCGCCCCCCGCCCGGTCTCCCCCCTTCCTCCCATTCCCCCCCCCCAGTCCTCATCCCTGTGTCTTTCATACTTGTTCCTCAAAATCCCTCCCCCTTTTTCCCCTTAAGTTCCCTTCCCTCTCCCCTCTGGTATATTAGTTCTAAATGGTGTTCATCCGATGTTTGCTTGACCCACATAAGATCTAAAGATTTGGCCTCATTTAGCCTCAGTTGCTTCTCAGACAGTATTACTGCATTATCTACAATGACTCTTTTGTAACAATTGTTCTTTCCCCCAGATTTGGCAATGTGGAGGCTCTTTGGAGATTGTGACTTGCTCCCACGTGGGTCATGTTTTTCGGAAGGCCACTCCATACACTTTTCCTGGCGGCACTGGTCATGTCATTAACAAGAACAACAGGAGACTGGCAGAAGTCTGGATGGATGAATTTAAAGATTTCTTTTACATCATATCCCCAGGTAAGCAATGCTGACATGTTTCTTTCTCTGCAGAGGAAAATACAATTTTAAGCATGCTGACTATGTGTTTTATTGGTGCTATTCTGTATTTTAAATAAAATGTTATCACCATACTGTTGCAGAAAGTCACGTTTGAGAAAATTGTACAATGAAGTTAATTTTCACTTAAAATGAGAAACACTACACTGATCTTAATGCCTAACTATATTTTTCTTCATTTCTTTCTTGCCGTAAGTATTATGCTAGAAAAATGGAGCAAGCAGTACAAAGAGAGATCCAAATTTAATTAACACATATCAGGTCATTTTAAGAAAAAAAATTTTTTCAAGAAAAGGAACACTTTATTTTCTTGTTTCACAAATTAAATTGGCTGAGTTGGTAAGAAATGTCAATAATGATCAGCAGAGATGTTCTCCACTGCCTTATTTTCTCCACTAACTGACTAGGGAAAGAATAAATGATCTACAGAAACAAGATAGAAAATTATGCAAATATTAATCTTTTTATTTTAAAGAATATGTAAGAGTAAATTACTCATCAATAGATATGTGCAAAAGCATAATGTGGACAATAAAATATTATACTGCTTTCTTTACAGAGAAAAATGGATATGGAAGTAGAAGTAAATGTGGGCTATCACTGGGTGGTGGGATTATGAGGTATTTTTATTCTTTTCCTTTTATTTACTTACATTTTCCAAATTTTCTTTATGAAATATTTATATTTTAAATTTTAAAGTTTATTACTAAATTTTATTTTAAATTAATTTTAGTAAGGTATTAAAATTTTAAAAGAATTTTAAAAGTCATTTAAAAGGAAAAGAAGAAAGCCTTCTGAGAAAATCACATTACAGGGTTATGTGATTATAAGTGATTTCACTCTTTATAATTTTATAGAGTTTCTTCAACCATCATATTGTTAACAGTGATTCTAAGACATTACTTATTTTTAAGGAAAAAGATGAAGCACAATGAGAAGATACAAATGAGAGGAAGACACAGGGTTGCCTTCAAGATCTCAGAGTGTAGACAGAGACCAAAGCATAAATTAATATAACAGGAATTCAACTACATTGATAAACACCAGTGTTCTATTTTGATAGTTTCTGTGCAGACCTCATCAATGTCATTTTTTTTTAAATTTTATTTATTTACCTTTAGAGGGGAAGAGAAGGAGAGAGGGAGAGAAACATCAATGTATGGCTGCCCTTTGCACATCCCCTGCTGGGAACTGGCCTGCAGGGAACTGGCCTGCAACCCAGGCATGTGCCCTGACTGGAAATCGAACTGTGATTGCCTGGTTCGCAGGCCCGAGCTCAATCCACTGAGCTACACCAGCCAGGGCTTCAATGTCATTATTATGTAACCCATAAAAAGAGCTGAAGTCCATGCCCACACCTTCTTTTCTATATCATAACCTGTTACATGGCTCAGAAAAGGCTGTTTAGTTTCTATCGGCATATTCTGATTCCTGAAAGTTTATAGGAAGCTGGGAAAATTCTTATAGAGGAAGAAGGGAATGAGCAGTGTGAACTTCCTTATTAAGGTCCAGCATCACTCTGTAGAAAAGAAAAAAATGAGAGCAAGGCACGTGTAAATGTGTGATTAAGAGAAGAACTTTTGTCACACATTCCAAGCCTCTTCTGTGTCAAGCAGTCATTCCCAGGTGCACTATTTCGCGCTTAGTTGGATTTCCCTTTACAGTGGAAAGCCGGGCCAGATGTTCAGTTGAGTTAAGCAAGAGCATGTAAAATTTGCAGCAAGGCAGTGATATTTATACAACCTTTTAATTTTTTTGATGATACTTTTTAAATTCAAATCATTACTTATAGAAATATATAAGTTCGAATATAGAAACTTTTCTTGAAACCTTTCTTGAAAGAAAAGAACAGTGGAATAAAGAAATGTAGTATGTGTGATTTTATACTCCTTACATTTAGAAATGTAATCAAAATAATTGTAACATATATATTATATTCACTCATAATGAGTATTATTTGTGAAAAGTAATGTGTTACTCTTTTGTATAACTTCCCATTGAGTGAAAACAGCAGATAAACAGTGGAACCATGGCTGAAATTAATGAAATGATGAGCTTTAGTGTTTAAAGAGCAAAAAACAATGCTTGTTATCTGGAACTAATCACGCCTTGCTACTCAACAGGGGCTGTATATTCTGGAAAGTACGATTTTGATGTTACAATAAATATCATTAGGAAAGTTATTGTTCTTATAAAATGGCCTCATTTAAATCCAGAAAGGTACCTTTGGTACCTTTTTTGGGGAATATGCTGAAAATACCTACGAATTTCCTAAGAGGCATTTATGTCTCGGACACAGCATGGCAGAGCGTTGAAGCTGCAGTGTGAGCAGAGAGAAAATCAAAATCATGAAACACTCAATTGCTTCTCAGTGGGACAGGAAGGGAAGGAAGCCGGAAACTAGGGTTGGATGCCTAAAACAATTCTAGTCCTGGGTAGGTTTCAAATCATCCCGAAACAGATAAAGTTTGTTGTGTGGAAGGTATCTATCATATGAATGGTGTCTAGCCATTTAGAGTGGGTAACTATTTTCATCACGACTGGTAGTTTCCGTGACTCTCAACATCAAAATCTTGCATTTCTTTGCTATTGTCTAGAATTGTTGGGTTTCTATTTTCCATCTCCCTAGGTAGCAAGTAAGTTTGTAAAGAAGGAAGGTGGTATGAAATGAGATTGGAACCATATATGCATGCACATTCATACTGAGAATTACATGCTTTATTATAATCATCACACACATATTTATGAAAAACTCCAAAAAAGTTTATACTGAACTCTGTTTAATTCCCCTGAACCACCTTGATATTCTGGCTAGGAAATTATGTTACCTTCTAGAAGCACCTCCATGTATCTGTTAATTTATCTAAGACATTTTGTGAAGAGAATCTTATTTTTTACATCAGGATTTCTATACTAAAGCTTATTCTTCTCTTGTGCAGTTATTAAAGGTGCAATTTTAAGTACAGACCCTTTATGAATCAAACTCTGACAACAACATCGCTTCCTTCCAATATGCTCTATAAAATACTCACTTAAAAAAAATCTTTACCTGAGGATATATTCACTGATTTAAGAGAGAGAGGAAGGAGAAGAGAGAGATTGGGGGGTGGAGAGAGAAAGAGAAATATTGATTAATTACCTCCTATATCCCTCCTGACCAGGGAACATGAAGATGGTCCAGCCACCTCAGCCCCCTGTCAAGGTCAAAATACTCACTTTGGATTGGCCATGGTTTCAGAACTATAGGGAATAATATACTTTCCAGAGAGGAAGCATACCCAGTTAGAGACACATAGAGCTGAATCATCCCTGAAACCAACTAATAAACATTACTCTGTATCATATTGATTCACTTTTATTATTATCATCTCAATATTCAAAATAAGTAGTTCAGAAACATGTATTTCCAGTGCTTAGTAACTTTCCTCTCTCTGTAGTCCTTGAAAAAATATATGGGCAGAATAATTAGAAGAATGAATGAATGAATTTCAAAGGGAGCCACTTTTATTTCTTCCTTTCTACTGAATTCTCCATTGATGTCTGGTCTGTATCACAGAATCTCTTCACAAGAATTGCAGCAAATTAGAAGCCTTTGTCCCACCTCTCTGATCCAACTTCTGGTTAAGGACCCACTGACAAAAGAAAGGTGAGGGGTACTCTTCAAGTATATGGAATATTATTCCTCTAAGTTTGCCATCACAAAAGGACCTTCCATGGACTTACCCATGTACCTAGTGGTTTGTGATTCCACCATAATAATAGGCATACACAGTAATATAATCTTATCTTCCAAAACTAATATAAAGCCTAACAGGCGTGATTTAGGCAGATAATAATATTCTCTAATAGAGTAGCATAATGTAAGAGCCCATAAACTTAAAATAAATTTACTTTTTCACACATTTAAATTTTTCTCAAGATGCCTGTTAAAGTTAAAATTGGGATATATAAAAATGTACATGTGAATTAATTTATCTAATTAAAAATATATTTATTATGTGTTCTAATTGTTTTGGCCTGTGCTCATTAGCCATTGGCAGTGTCTAATTATATCTCCTAAATGGCTATTAGAATGAAGAGTAGAAATACTTTGAAATAGTACTGAAAGGTACATTTTCAACATTTGTTTGGTTTGATTTTTTGGTTGTCATTTTAAGAATGCAAACACTATAGCATCATAGATTTTTAAAGCCCTGTAGGCTCTTAAATTATGAGGCAGATTTTACCAGTAATTGTGCTGGTTCAGCTTAAGCCAATCTAATTATTCTAGCAAATGCTTTGAAATGATATGTGGTGAGAAGACACCACTCTTCACAGAACAGGCCACTAACATTCTTTTCTTGTTGGTCACAGGTAAAAAGCTTAAGAACATTGAATGTAGTTACACTAACCATATATTTGAAATGCTGGCTACTCTATAAACACATACTGATTTGCTTTCTCTGGGGAGGTTGAGTTCTAAATGTGTATCAATCTACATGGTGATTTGAGACAGCTGTTCTTATATAACCTCCGGTTGTTCTTCCTTTTCTTAATAAACAGCTTGAGCTCTTGTTTTGAGCAAAAACAAATTGATAATAAAATTGAAAGACTCCCAAAACATACCTTCAAACGTATGTATGTGTAATGGGGAAACAGCATATTTTCCTTTGGCAATATTGTAGTATTTTGACCTGTATTCTGGGTATATAGCATGCATTTAAAGATCCTTGAACTTGTTTTGAAGGTTAACTGTCCATTTGTTAGCCTTTTAAAAATGCTTCAGAAAATCAGCTAATTAAAGGAAGTCTTTGTTAGCAACATCTTTAGATCTTTTTTTAACATTAAAGGCTTATATTCATTTCTGTCTCTTGGACTTTATATCTGTAAAATATAAATGTTTCTTCGTATGCTGATTTTTAAAGCTGTAATATTTTATAACCAGCCTTTTGAGTGTAGAGCCTAATTTCTTTTATAAGTCA